CTTTAATGTATGCCAGGGATGTAAGTTCAGCCACCATAATTCCCCTTTCATACTGCTAGCTTTTGATGCACCTATTCGTTGTATCCCAGTTACTACCGCCCGAATAACAGTCTATGCTACTTTGGAATCTCCGAGGATTGCCCTGAGAATCGCCCAGTCCTCTGCGGAGGGAATGGGACCACTACACCTGGGCCTTCCACTACAACTGCACCTGGCAACACCACTACACCTGGGCCTTCTACTACAACTGCACCTGGCAAGACCACTACACCTGGGCCTTCAACGACTACTCCAGCTCCCTCGGGTACTAGAGCTCTTGAATGGCCGGCTGACTCAGAGTTCCTTCTTAGCTGCTCATCCTACTGGGCTGTACGTTGGGAGTGGGGAATCGGGTAATACCCCGTTCAGCCTCAATGCTACATTCAGTGAGAATGCCACGATTCTAGAAAAGATGTAAGGGGTTCACACTCGGAGGTCATCTGCTTTTCAGGAGAGTGTAAAACAGTAGCATTCTACAGTGAGAAACTGCGGAATCTCATGAGTTATGTGAAGGTAAATTGCTCTCTTCGCAGGAGTATCCAGTACGGGACCCTTCCTACTATCAACATTACGGCTCTCCCCTACCAGATGGACGGCTCATCGATAGTCGTTACGAATTTCACTGCTGTACCTCAAGATTTAAGGAATTTGCTGATGAGTGAACCAGACCATTATTAGTGTCTCGATCTGTCATGATTTTCTGTTCAGAGGTAAAGCTGACATATAATCATGCCGATGAGACTATAACCTTCGTTATCCCTGTGGTCATCACTGTTGTGCTGCGTCGACCGTAGAGCGGCAGCGGTGACTTCAAGCGATGATCGGGGCTTCAAGCGCCGATGCTGCTCACCGAGCCATGTTCTCCACTATTTCGTCATTTATTTCATTATCAGTCTCGGTTTTGCTCCTGTGCTGCACAGGCTGTGCAGAGCTCACAAGTCACCAATGTGGCGTTGAGAATACCCAGGATATATGAATAGGAACCATGCATTTATCCCCGCCGAATGAATTTGACGTAGTGTCGACATGCTGACTGGAAGTATTTATCTGCTTCATCCTCATAGGTCCAGTGAACTAGACAATAACCTCTCCAGTTCGCCTGGTCACATCTTGCGGTTCAAGGTTCTTCGGCTCCAATTTTACCGAACGTCATCGGTGGTACCAATCGTCAAGTCGTTGTAGTCTAACAAAGATAGGTTCCCCTTTCACAGCTCCCTAAAGTGTTGTGCTCATGGTAATCTCCTGGCTCACTATCACTATCGGAACTAACGACATACCAATATTATTCAAGTCAACCCCAAGTGGGGTATGCAAACCTTGATGAATCGCGATAGCGATGGCCATAGAAGAAGTCGTCGCGTTTGCGGACCGGACATGCTTGCTCGTTTGTGGCAGGTAGCTCGCTAATGGATGCAACATCATAGTGAGGACGGCAAGTAACAATGTCTGTTAATAAATTGCACCGAGTTCCAGCGTCGGCCGGATTATCAGCTCCTTTAATATGAAAGCAATTGAGATGCCTATCACCCAGTAGTTGCTGAATCAAAGTCAAATATTGTCGGCAGTAGACTTCTTGGACCCCAGTATGAACACGATGGTGACGCACCACAGCCAAAGCAGTAACGGAGTCGCAGTGGAGGTTGAGATGTTTAAAGATTGCACCAACATCAAGTTCAAAGAGACGAACACGAGAACACGCGTGGTAGATGCTCAAGAGCTCCAACGTGTTGATATGGAATACCTTTTGGGACTTGGTGAGAGGCAACTGGCCACGGAAGACTGGATCACCGCTCTGTTCGATGGTGTAAGCAAGCATAGTGTTGCTGGCATCGGCATAGATGTCCAGAGGAGTAAGTAAATCGACTCGACGCGGGATAGTAGTCAGCGTAGATGATTTGAGTAGTTCTTGCCACTGAGAGAGGAGGTTCAAGACATCAGCCGGGATGGCCTGATCCCATCCGTGATCAAACTTGGACCGGCATTTGCTGACAAGACCGGTGAGAAGATTCTTACACGGCAGGATGTGGTAAGGAAGAAGGTCAGCTTCTTGGAGGAGGCTACCAAGGAATCCCAATGCTTGCCGATAAGTGACTGGGGTTGTCAAGGGCCAAGTAACAGCAGTATGGATCCCTTTTGTCGGGTACCGCAAACGTGTACCACAATCACAGACCTCAACGCCAAGTACAAATACAACGTCCTGAGTAGTTAGCTGTTGGGACGTCAGAGGGAGGTCATGGTCCTCGTAAACTTTGACGAACTCGGGATCGTCTACAGTAGTCTCAGTTGCGTGTAAGCTGAGGATGTCGTCCATGT